AAAATAACCAGTTGCAGCAATTTTCAGCAGTTATACCTCCTATATCTAAAAATAGAGCGGTTTACTGGATACACCGCGAAAAATGGTGGATAGCCTGGCGAACCACTAACATTCGAGGTAACAACAGAATTAACCACCGTAAAGTTATGATAATATGAGAACTAATAACTGCGACGGTTTGGTCATGTGTTGCGAATACCTCCAGAAGGGAAGGCTAAGCAGCTGTTTCTTCCAAGTCCGACGGGCAGAATTCCCAGAGGACGGCCAAGACTAACCTGGTGCAAATATATGGAAGGAGTCTGTTCCAGACTCCAGTTGCCTTCTACCGAAGCTGAGACTCTGGCACGGGATCAGGAACGTTGGAAGCTCTTTCTGACGCGTCTGCTTCCGCGATCCGAAAGTTGAAGCGACGACGGAAGATGATGATGGTGAAGTTATGATAAGAATTTGTGAGTAGTAATACTAACGAAAAGGCGTAGTAACCTTTCACTGTCCTAATTTTTTTCAGGATCAAGTGGTGATGAGACTCATCAGACAGCAGCATGAGCCATCTCCAGCGACGGCCCTACAGTTCGTTAGAAATCCCATTTCGTCTGCCCTACGGACCTGCAACGTACAGATGAAGAGCGATAAGTACATCACATAGGCAGGTTAAATTCGCCAGACTGATGAACATATTTGTTCGGTGGTTCGGAGTCGCATTGACCTAAGCATCCCAAAATACGAAGCAAATATGGCTACTAATATGTGGCCCTGTCCATCAAGCATAGATAGCAAATCATGCAACCGTCATTCTGTCGCATACTTGTAATTTTGGATGCAGACCGCTGAAATTCAATTCGTCAACAATCCATCAGATAGAACATCTTTTAGTGCTTAGCACTCGGGAAGCCGAATGTCCAGAGAAGGAATTTTATTTGCTACGGCGACTCTAATGTGTCAGGTAAAATTCCGAACGTGATTTTTCTGTCCACTCATGGTTTCAGCAGCTCACCGGCAAAGCACTATTTCCCTATAAAGAGGATCAAATCGAAGCAGTTCTCGAATCCGCGTACAGGCAACAGCCATCTCTAAGCAAGGGAGTGGGACAAGCTGAGGACAAAATCCTGCAGATGTCAGAAGACCATACTCACAGAGTTGATACTGTCAGAATAGCCTTCAATTCGAAATATATCTTAGGAATGCAAACCTAGAGAATTCCATATAATGTTTCTGCGTGTGCAGTGTGATTTTTTTCCGTCTGTGTTCTCTAGACTCACATCCAATAATCTTCCCGTTCGCATTATGCTAATTTGTCACAACTGCATGTAAATTGAAGTTTATTAGATTTTGCATATATTGTGTGTATATGAGATCAGTTGCACAAAAAACATTACAATTATGAGTGAAACTAAAGTATGTAAACACCTATATCAAACTCTATGAGTAAAGCTTACAAATAAAAACTGTGAAAGTCGTGAAAATTAAACAGAAGCCTGAAGGATAGAAGCGTCCAGGTCAAGTACGTTTACGGGAGTGAAAAGCGAACGAAAGTGAATAACTGTGCGAACAGCAAATGACAGGATGAGACGCTACGTACGAATTGTCGGATGTACTAGGCATGAAAAGCAGTATGTTGAGAAAACAAACGACGTCATATGGATGGCTGCAAATGGTTAGAGTAAATATTAGAAGAAGTCATGAATAGACAAAACTTGGACCGGATCTTTTGGGTTTGCTAGCATTCTGTCAGTTTTCGATACCAACGGTAAGATATTTATTCAATTTTTTGCGGTTCTACATCTGTGCATTCCCTTATATACCAGGGAACCGTAACGTCCTTAAATGGTTTCCTAGATGACTAAAGAAAGGCTCGTTGTCTACGACGCCTCAATGGTGTGTAGAAAACGAGAAACGACGAAATTATGAATTAGAATTTATCGAAGCACATATAGATAGATCTGAGAAGTCGAACAACGTATTATCATGGCACCGGAACAAAAAAGTACTGAAGGATTTAATTCGGAGCATGACACAATACATAGCAAGGAGCATAATGTAGGGATGAAAAGGACCAGTTTATATTTAAGAACAACACAGTGAAGCTCTTGACGAGACAGCTGCCGAAAGAAACAGGAAGGAAAAGAAGTCGTAGCGATTAGAACAAGACCAGAACAAGAAAAAGCAACGAGCGCAGCTTGTGTAAGACATGAAACTACTTTCTCTAAAAACAGCATCAGTCACACAAAATCAGCTTGTGTAGGGAAAAATTGATAAAACGGAGAGAGGGCAAACTAGGTTAAAACAGAGTAAAGAATATAACAACTCAGAAAGCGAAGGAACTTAGAGAAAGAGTTGACGAATGGAAACTTACAGACAAGCTAAGAGATAAAAGAGCAACGAAACTCCATGCATGAAGGAGTAATGTTGTTAATGATAAAATTAGACACAGAATGCAAATGCGATTGAACATTAGGCATGGAATGCCACATAGAAAGGGCAGACAGAGGCCTACAGTGCAAGGGAGGGACCAGATAGCACATGAATAAAAGCGGTGGCAATCAGCAACAATGAAAATGAAAAAAAAAATGAAGAAAGTATCAATGATGCGAAAAACGTACGACAAGAATCTAACTTGCTGAAATAATTGACAAGCGGTAACTTAAAAAAATATACTTCTGGAAAGGACAGGTACAAGGAAGATGGAAACACATGGTGCGTAGCAGTATTTTTCTTACTTTAAAGTTCAAACATAAACTATAATGAGGCAGGATAATGAAAAAAACTCAACGTATGGACAACAAGCAACCATTTATGGCGAAGAACATAATATACATAACAATATGACTCCCGCAACAAACAAGAATAAGACAGACATACGAGCATACGTATGATCCTAGTACTTACGGAAGTTTAAAGTAGAAACCTAAAGATGAATGAGGCAGAAAAAAGGTAAAACAACCTTCAGGTAACGACGGACCCTAGTGAAATGAGACCCGACAGCTCCGACAGACATATTAATATGAACAGCTGTTGATCTTCTCTTCAAGATCGATAATAGCAATATGAATAAGCAACATGAAGAGTATGTAATGCTAAAAACGACAAATAAAATTATAACCAGATTATGAAGATGGTCAGAAAATGCGTTGAAAATGGCAGCCCGAGGAAAACGTGAGAAGTGTGATCGAACTACCCAACTTGCATACAAAACTGAATTGCTTATCGTGAGTTATAGCACGCTTGGAATTGGAGACACCAATGGGACATAAGCCGCAGATCCGGCATTCAAATTGATCGGAGCGTTTGCGATAACGTATTGTTTATTGACTAATTTTTATGCTGCTAGTATGATTGGATTATATTAGTAACGACTTTCACGTTTTATCCTTTATTACAAGAAAGATGTTAAACTATATATAAATACAGTAATTTGCATTTGTACTGGCAAATCA